CTCCGTGGGGAAGGAGCTGGGGCTGTGCACGAGCAGCGCTGTGCCCGGGGGCACGGGGAGGGCACTGGGCCCGGGGTGCCTCAGGAGAGCATCTCCAGCAGGTCTGGGGCTGATGCTGCCCCTCTGCTCAGCCCTGGCCAGGCCTCCCCTGGAGCAGGGTCCAGCTCTGGGCTCCTCGGGATGGGACACGGAGCTGCTGGAGCGGGTCCTGTGGAGGGCCTCAAAGATGGTCTGGGCACTGGGGCATCTCTGTCCTGGGGAAAGGCTGAGGGTGCTGGGGCTGAGGGGGGCCCTCGTCCCAGTGTCCCTGTGTGCAGGGAGAGCAGAACACGGCCCAGGCTCTGCTCCAGGGGCCCAGCAATGGCACCTGAGGCACGGACAGCGCGTGATGCCCAGGAAATTCCACCTGGACAGAGGCAGAACTTCTTCCCTGTGCAGTGCCCAGGCCCTGAACAGACTGTCCAGCGAGGGTGTGGAGTGTCCCTCACTGGGGACATTCCAGAGCCACCTGGACACAATGCTATGCTCTGGGATGAGCCTGCTGGAGCAGGGCTGTGTGATCAGATCTCTCTGGCCCCTTCCTGCGACTCCACGAACCGCGGGAGGCGGGGACGGCTCTGGCCCTGCACGCCCCAGCCTCTCCCCTCTCTTTGTGTCCCCCAGCCGCGCTGTGGAGGAGGGCAGCCCCGCTGGGGCCCCTGCCCAACGAGGCCGTGGCCGTGGGGGAGCCGCAGGCGCTGCAGCGGTACCGCAGCTTCGCGCGCTACCTGCGGCAGGCGCGGCGCGCGGCGCGGCAGCCGCGCTGGTGGAACACCTACCACGGACACACCGACCCCCCCACAGGTACCCCCGAGCCCCCACAAGGCCCCCGAGGGCTCCGGCACAGCCTCAGCCCTCTGGGGGGTGTGCTCCCCAGGGAAAAGGGGTTTTCCAGAGGGAGGGAGGCTGGTCAGGAGCGGCCAAAAGTCGCGGAGTGGGGAAGGGATTCCTCGGTGCCACGGAGAGCAGACAAGGGGGCAGAGCTTCAAGCCTGCAGCAGATAACAGCTGGGAGTGGGAGGGCCATGAGCTGGGGAGGGAGGTGCAGAGGGGACAGAATCAAGTCCTGATTGTCCTTCCTTGTCCGTGGCGGGGTGGGAAGTGGATGGTTTTCAACCCAAGCCCTTCTGTGATCCTGATCTCTGGAAGTCTCTGTCTCACCCTCTCAGACATTTCACAGGGTGTGTTTGGGTGCTCACATTTCACCCCCTCTCTTCTCACCCCTCCCTGAAGAGCCCCAGACAGACATTGGCCTGCCACGTGAGAGGCTGTCCCGGGCAAAGGAGCTCAAGGAAAGGAAGAGGATCCTGAGGGAGAACCACCAGAATGCAGAGATGGAGCGAGCGGCACGGCTCCGGACTGGTCAGTGCCCCAGCACCTCCCTCCTGCTCCAGCTGCTCTGCCTGTCCAGCTGCTGCCCCTGCATCCTGCCTGTGTCCTTGCAGTGCTCATTCCCCTGGAGGAGGTCAGGGCTGAGTGGGAGAGGACCAGTGGCCCGTTCCACAAGCAGCGCGTGGCCAGGCACTGCGGCGTGTTCCGGGACCTGTTCAAGGGGGCCACCTTCACCCCCTGGGTGGCCCTGAGCGTGCAGTACAGCCAGGAGGATGAGTACCTCGTGCCAGTCTACTATGGGAACATGGTGACTCCTTCAGAGGTGCGAGAGGGGAGTGGGAACAACTTGGAGCCCCTGGGAAGCCTCTTTCTGCCAGGTGCTTCCAACAGGCATGGTTCCTTCCAGGGGATGCCTTTTACAAAATTGTTTCCTTTATGCTGAAAGAAAACAGTTTGTGCATGTGGCAGGGACAGAGGTTGTAGGTTGTCTGGCAGGAGGCTGGTGGTTATTTATGCCCTGTGGATTCCTCAGTGGCCTGGCAGTGCCCAGTCTGTGTCCAAGCCTTGCCCAGACACAGTTCATGGAAGCTGTTGTGTGAGTGATTTACATTCTCTTTATGTTGCTCTTTTAGGCTTCCAGTCCCCCTGCAGTGTCGTACGAGGCAGACAAAGGCTCCCTCTGGACCTTGTTGCTCACAAATCCAGGTGAGCTCCTTCTTTAAAGGAACATGTTTAAACTGGGTTGTTTCACTCAGCTTTTGGTTAACTCCTGATTCTTTGGCTGCACAGAGATGATGAACACTGGAAGGGTTCAAGGCCAGCCTGGTCTAGTGGAAGGTGTCCCTGCCCATGGTAGGGGGTGGGATGAGATGAGCTTTTGGGTCCCTTCCAGCCCAAACTGTGCTGTGATTCTGTGATGTTATATCTGTTAGACTGGGACATGTTACACATGAGGGAAAGATTGTAGCCTCCCCAAATCCCCTAGCAGTTGAGAGAAGGGACAGTGATACTACAGGACCTGTGTCACAATGTAGAGGACACAATTTCCTGACTCCCATCTTTGTTTCCCTCCAAACTCTCCTTCCTTGGCAGTCTGCCTGGAAGGCAGCTTTGCTGACACTGTTCACCCTGAGAGACCAAGGCACAGTGAAGGATGCAGCTGCCCAAGAAGATTTCAAGAATCTTGGAATTAGATCTGCAGAGTTCTTTCCTCCTTGTTTTAAACTCAGTCCTATAGGAATGAGTTCCTTTTCTGCTAGGGAAGGAACTCTGGGAGGTCTTGAGCTGCTCCCTCTGGTCAAAGCAGGTCTGGGCATTCTCAGTTTGGGGTGGATGCTGGCACCAGGGTGTCCCTAAGTCCCTTTTCCCTGTTGTGTGTTGGCAGATGGACATTTGAGGGATGCAGACTCGGAGTACCTCCACTGGCTGGTGTGAGTACATCAGAGCCAGGTGCTCTGTGCTTGTGGGCTGGGCACAAACTCCTCCAACAGCTCAGAATCCGTGGCTTTTCCTGGTGCTCCTGCCATCAGCTCCTTTAGCCCTGTGTTCTGGGTCCTGCTAAGGATGCAGGAGTTGCAGATGTTGCTGCTGTTCAGCATTCCAATCACTGGGTGGGATTTTTCCTGTGGTGAAAGCAATCTCTCCTATCTATTCCCTTATCAAACGGGGCAGAAATCACATCACAGCATGGCAGAGTGAATTGCAGTCCTGGATGATTCTTCTGGAGGGAGACGAGCATAAATGTGTTTGTGTTCAGGACCAACATCCCAGGCAGTGACATCAAGGCTGGCAAGGAGATGTGCCACTACCTGCCCCCCTTCCCTGCCATGGGGACAGGCTACCACCGCTTCATCTTCCTGCTCTTCAAGCAGCACGGTGCCATCGACTTCAGCCAGGACGCTCGGCCCACGCCCTGGTAATTCCTCTGCCCACCTGCTGGGCTTGGCTGCTGCTGCTGCTTGTGGGGTTTGTGTGTCTGTCACTGCACTGGAGGAGCAGCTCCTGTCACTCTGCAGAGTTCTGCAGGGCTGCTCTGGGTTTGTGTGTACTCTGCAGCACTGCAGAGTCCTGTTGTTACAGAACAGGCTGTTAGAGAGTGGTTTGTCCTGCCCAGAAACGTGCATGGAGCTGGAGACACTGGGAGATTTCCTCTTGGTGGCTTCCCTTTCCACCTCTGTCATATGCCCTGGGGTGATGTGGAGCAGAGTACTGCTGCAAGGAGAGGTTCACCTGGTGCTTGTGTCTTGTTTCCAGCTACAGCCTGAAGATGAGAACCTTTAGCACATTTGACTTCTACAAAAAGCACAAGGATGCCATGACCCCGGCAGGGCTGGCATTTTTCCAGTGTCAGTGGGACAGCTCTGTCACTTCCACCTTCCATCAGCTGCTCAGTAAGGAATGGGGACACTGGAGGGGGTCTGTGGGTGGGACGTGGCCCTGTGGCTGCAGGCTCTCACTTGGTCTTGGCTGAGCCCTTCCTGAGCCATCCTCCAAACTAACAGCAGCCTGAAGGAGCACCCCCTAACCCTTGGCTGAGCATTTTAAACTAACTCCAAGGGCGTGTTTGAGCAGCCCTGCTCCTGTGTGGTGCAGGGGGGTGTGGGGTTCACACGTGAGCCCCCTGCTGACCTGTGCCTCTCTGCAGACATGAGGGAGCCCGTGTTCGAGTTCGTGCGGCCGCCCCCCTACCACCCTCCGCAGGTGAAGTTCCCTCGGCACCAGCCCCTGAGGTACCTGGACAGGTACAGGGACACACAGGAGCCCACCTACGGCATCTACTAGCAGCTGGCCCCTCTGTGTCCCTGGGATGCTGGCTCCTGGATTTCCTGTGCTCCCCTCAGTGCCTCAGGAGGGAAATGACAAAGTCTCAGCCCCTCAGCTCCCAGTTTCCCTGTGCTGGGAGCTGGTGTTGGGTGCTCACAGGACTGGCAGCTGCTTAATGAGAGCATTCAAAGTGAGTCCATGGCCAGGCTGAAACCTTGCTCCTGATTCTGCAGCAGTGGCTGGCAGGCTGCATCTCCCCAGAGATGCTCTGCCTTGCTTTCCTGCAAGCATCACAGTTTCCCTTTTTCCTGTTTATGGAACAGAGCCAGGCCAGCCTGGATTTCCTCCTCTCACAATGCTGTGGTTCAGGACTGTGTCAGATTTTATTTGTGCAGTCCTCCTGGAGAGATGAGTCTGATTAAACACTCTCTGAGCAGTGCTGGCAAAGCTGTCTTTATTGGGGAGAGCCTGTTACCCTGGCCAGTTGGCCCAGAGCTGGGGAGCTCAGCAGGCTGTAGGGCAGATGGGCAGCCCTTCCACTGGCCAGAGTCACTTCCCTTCTTGGATGTTGTAGTTTGGGAAGAGAGTGGCTACACAGGTGATAAACCTGCACAAGGTTTGTGGAGGTGGCTTTAGCTACCCTCAGCCTCCTTCCCCTCTGTCTCTGGACAGGACATACCTGGCATAGGCAGGTGAGCAGAAGCTGAGCTGCTGCTGGTGGTGACCTGCCACTGCTGCTGCAGGTCCTGTTCCCAGGCCTTGGAGAGCCTCTGCTCTCTGCTCTGCTCCACTGTGCATCTCCTGTTCATGTGGACCCCCAAACACCAACTGAAGTTTGCTGGGACATACAGGGAGTTGTGAGATATCCCAAGTCCTCTCCTGTGCTCAGGGGGGTGGCTCTGAGCCTGCCTGTGCTATGGAAGCTGGTCTGGATGATCCACCAGAGACCTGCTCCCTGCTTGCCCTCACCTGTGCAGGTGAAAGGGAGGCTGCTCATGAGGGCAGGCTGGAAAAACAAGGCTGGGAATGTGAGCAAGATAGCACATGGGCCTGGTACAGAGATAAGGCTTGGGCTGGGAAAACTGAAACTGAACTGAGTGACAACGAGGGGAAGGTTTGCAGTGCCCAGGCACCACACTGGCCTCTGGGCAGGAGGCTCCACCTGCCACCCGAGCAGGGACAGGTGGCCCACGTGCCATCTTAATTGTATTTCAGGGTGCTGGTGTGCACAGGTGTTGTAAGGAAGTTCACAGGAAAAGGTGTGGTGGGTGTGCATGGGGACATGGCAGAGAGCAGCAGCTGTGGTTTAAAAGATGCAAGGGAAGAACATGGTGCTGGCGTGTGTCACAGCCTTGCCAGGGCACAGGGAGGTGACAGTGGGTGCCTCTCTGCTGGTTCCCAGGCAGGAGCTCTGCACAGGTCTCTGTGCCAGGGGGACTGCCATGCTCAGCTCGGGGAGAGCTGGCATCCTCAGCCGTGGCAGAGCTGAGGATGCCTGGAAGTTCCCTCAAAAGGCAACAAAGGAGTGAAAATCCAATTGCACATGGCTGTGTGCCCAGCAAACGCGTTCATGGAAATGCACATTGCTCCGATCCCTGTCGCCTCCTGAGTCTCCCTGTGCTGTCACTGCAGCATTCATTTCATCCTCTCCGGAGTGTCCCACCGTGCCTCTCAGCCCTGCCTCCCCACGGGGAGCAGCCCCAGCCTCTCCGCAGCGTGTGACAGGGGACAGCCACCGGGTGTCACTTGAGGAGCGCGTCTGGCCGGGAGCCCTGCCCCGCCTCTGGGCACAGCGCCTCCTCCGCCTCCTCCTCCTCCTCCTCCTCCTCCTCCGCCAGTTTCTATTTCCCCGGCGCGGGCAGGATGGCATCGCCCATGTCGCAGAAGCTGGAGGAGAAGCTGGTGTGCTCCATCTGCCTGGAGCTGTTCAGGGTGCCCGTGACCTTGCCCTGCGGCCACAACTTCTGCAAGCGCTGCATCGGCGACCACTGGGACCAGCAAAGTCAGGCCGGGACCGCCGCCAGCTGCACCTGCCCCGAGTGCCGCCGCGCCTTCCAGCGGCGCCCGCAGCTGGAGAAGAATGTCACCCTGCACAGCGTGGTGGAGCTGGCCCGGGACAGCGAGGAGCGCGGCTCGGCCGCGGGCCGGGGCGAGGCGGCCCCGGCCGGGCTGTGCCGGCAGCACGGGCGGCCCCTGGAGCTGTTCTGCCAGGACGAGCGGCGCTGCATCTGCTGCGTCTGCACCGTGCGGGACTGCCGCCGGCACCGCAGGGTGCTCTTCGAGGAGGAGCGAGCCAAGAAGCAGGTGGGGGACACGGGAGAACAGGGATGTTGTGACAGCTCGGGCGCGCACGGCATCCACCTCCACTGCCCCGTGTGCTGCTGCAGGGTGTGATGTCCCTCTGTGTGCCAGAGTGCCCAGCCTCAGCTGGACATGGGGCTGGCCAGGGGGGTGCCCCAGTGCCTGGCTGCTCCTTGAGAAGCCAGGTGTTGTCAGGAGCAGCAGTGAGCTGGGGAAATCCAGCAGCTCGAGATGAACGGTGCCCTATGTGTTTGTTGCCCTCTGATCTAGGGGAAACAGCTAAAAAGGGGGTGAAAGGCAGCACAAAAAATCACTTCATTGTTATCCTGACACAGAGTCCCCTTCCCAAGCTGCCTCCTTCCCTGTGTTAGCCTTGTCCTGCAGCCCTGAGAGGGTCCTGGGGGCCAGGTGGGCAGCAGTGGGTTGTTCCACAGGATGTGCACCTGGACATGACTGGGAGAGATGACCGGGTATAGAACTCAGTGCTCTGGGCCAGTTGAGGGTGTTCAGTCATAGGCTGAACTCGATGATCTTGGAGGTCTTTTCCAACTGTAATATTCCGTTGGTGCCTCCCTTCATAGACCTTTTTGAATGAATCCCTGGAAAAAGCCCAGGAGGAATCAGAGAGGATTGAGCTGGCAATGAAGGAGCTGGAGTTGCAGACAGAGAGCATCAAGGTAAGGCTGCAGCCTCCCTGTGCTGGCCCGTGGGTGGGAGCACACTGGTTCTCATGGCTCTTCCTGCCCAGGACTGCTCCGAGCTCAAAGATGGGATTCAGAGCAAATTCACCCACCTGAAGCAAGCTCTGGAGGATTTCAGGTGTCAGACAATGGCCAGGATTGAGCAGGAGCAGAGCGCAGCACTGGAGCATGTGGACAAGAACTGGAACCTGTGCAAGGACCGCCTGGACGCCCTTGGCCAGCACAGGGACAGGGTTCAGAGCCTGCTGGCCTGCCCTGACCACAGGGCCTTCCTGCAGGTACCACCCTGGCACTGTGTCCTCCTGTTTGCTTGGGCCTGCACCCTTTTGATGACAGCAGAATCATGTCCAGCCCATTCCCACTGGGAATGCATCCTCGCTTTGGCTCAGGGATGTGCTGGGGCTGTGGGGAGGAGCTGTTTTTTGGGGGTCCCTGAAAAGTTGTGTGGGCAGTGCTGGGATGCCCCTGTTGCCCACTGGGGAGACGTGGTGAGTGCAAATGGGTTTGCAGAGTCCTCCCCAGACTGGTGCATGGTGTCCGTGTGTCTGTCCACAGGAGTTCCCCCTGCTCCCACCCCTGGAGAGCCCAGAGGCGCTGGTGCCCGTGGAGTTTGATGTGGCTGCTGTGATCAAGCCCATCTCTGAGATCCTCACCAGCATCTCCAGGCTCCTGCTGGAGGACCTGCCTGCCTCTGTGGCCCCCAAAGCCCCCAGCCCTGCTGGCCAAGGTAACCCTCCTGCTCTCAGGGGTACTTTGAAGGGCTCTGAGACATCCTGAGGATGAGCCTGGCCTGTGTTACTGCTGGGGACAGGGGTTTGGGGTGGGACACACATTTACTGGTCAGCAGATGAAGTGGGATGAGCAGAGTGGCCTCCCTGTGGCCCCTGCTTGCTGGGAATGCTGAACCATGGTGGCACATGCCTGCTCCCAGGTTTGGATACAATGCAGCTCCTCCTCCTTCTCCTTCTCCTTCTTTTCTTCCCATGAAGCCAGGAAGAAAGCAGTTTTTGGGTGGCATCACTCAGAATTCCTGTTTCCATCCTCCACAGGCCCAGTGCATCCCCAGGAGCTGGCAGTGAAGGCTGTGGCCCCTCTCCCCAAGTGCCAGCTCCGAGCTGAGCTTCTGAAGGGTAAGGAGCACAGGGGCCCTGCAGGGACAGCACCTCACTGGGGTCCCCAGCAGGAAGAGATGCCACCAAGCCAGGCTCCTTTCCCAGGAGGAGGGTGGTTGTGAAGGACAGGGGTCCTTCCCTGGTTCTTCCAGTGTCTCCCTAAATGCAGAGAAGGGTGGTGTAGGGGTAGGGATGGGAAAGGACCCACTAGGGGGATTAGCAGCACCAGGGAGTGCTTTCCTATGGAACTGAGGCTGTCTGGTGTTGGATCAGTCACTGCCCTGCATGGCACAGCCCCAGTCCAGAGCCCTGCCTGCAGTCAGTGCTCTCTATCCAGGGATATGGCCTCAGCATTCCTAGCTACAGTCCTTCATGTCCCCTATCCTCCCCAGGCCAGCCCTCTCCTGCTTTTAGGAAATTCCTCTGTGTTCCTCTTCCCATCTCCTCCCTGTTGGGAAGAGGTTTGGGTAATGTTCAGCCCATGTTGGTCATGTCACTCTTGCCAAGGAGGCAAGAGTGCCTATGGGACCTGTAGGAATTCCTTCCTTCAGGCCCCACAGAACATTCTTAGGGTTATTAATAGGAACCCCCTGTTATTTATGGGCAGCAGGCAGGAGCCCAGCCAGCTGCCAGGCCCAGGTGTTGGGGGAGCAAGGTGGGGTGCTGGTGGCCAGAGAATGCCCACGCCAGGAGCTATCACAGCCCATGCAGAGGAGAGTAACTCCCTGCAATACCATATTTTCTCACTAAACACCTGGTTTTCTCCCCTTCTCCCAACCCACACTGGTATTTTGTGCTCTTAAAACCAAGCACATCCCTGCCAAAGCGGCCACAGAGCCACCCTGGTCACAATGGCCATTGAGCTGGGTTGTGCAAGAACTGTGCAGCATCGTGTCTCAGTGCCTCAACAGCTATTTCTGGCCTTTTCCATTCCCTCTAGGGCAGGTGTTGCATCCTCCCCATTACCCTTCCCTTCCAAACAACCTGTTCCCTTCTCTTTTGGGAGCCAACCCTACATAATTTAAACCCCATCACTGCTGGGAGGGCATAAAGGTCTGATGAAACATTTCATCCATGCCCTTGCTCCCCACAGACCACCGCAACCTGACCTTCGACCCCGAGACAGCCAACAAGTACCTGGAGCTGTCCAAAGGTGCCCACAAGGCCAAGCACAGCCCTGACACCATTCCTGGCAAGGGGCAGGGCCCCCGCTTCGAGCCCTGGCAGGTGCTGTGCACGCAGAGCTACGGCCCCGGCCGCCACTACTGGGAGGTGAAGATCTCCAGCCACTCTGTCATCCTGGGGGTCACCTACCGGGGGCTCCCCCAGGAGCAGCAGCAGGGCCACAGGTTCAACATCGGCCTGGACGGGGGCTCCTGGGGGCTGCAGGTGCTCGAGGATTGTTACCTGGCCTGGCACAAGGGCCGCGCCCAGAAAATCCACGAGCAGCTCTATACAAACCTGGGGGTCAGCCTGGATTATGGCAAGGGGCTCCTCTCCTTCTATGGCCTCGGGGAGAAGACAAAGCTCATCCACTCCTTCCACAGCGTGTTCACTGAGCCCCTGTACCCCGTGTTTTGGCTGTGTGAGAGGCGAGCGGTGACGCTGTGCCAGAGGGACTGAGCCACAGCCAGGCTGGTGCCAAAGTGGAGCTGCAGCTCAGGCTGTCAGTGGGGCCTCAGTGCTCAGGCAGGTGTGGAGTGCAGTGTTTTAGCAAGAGCTGAGGGACAGACATGTGAATTAACCTGTGTGATTTGCATATGCAAATGTCATACTAGTGACACTCTGCAGGGCTGGAGCTCACGGTGAGTGCCTCTCCCTGGAGACAGAGTAAAGGAATGGGGAACAAGGAGAGTGAAAAAAATGAGATTTTCCTCTTTCTTCCCTCCCTGCCAAACGTCCCAAACTTGGGGAAGGTTTGGATGAAGGGGACTCCAGAGGGAGGTGGTACTGCCACCGGGTGCTCAATTTGGAGGGAGCTCTGTGCTCACACAGCCTCACATGCAGGCAGGTCCTGCTTCCCCCAGCCCCTTCTTGGTTTCCTCTTGCTGTTCTCAGACCTGGCAGAGCAACTTCTCAGGGTTCTATGTTACAGCTCTTTGTACAATGCTGCTTTTCCCAATAAAGCTTTATTTTCTTACTGGTTTGACCTTGCTGCTGTTGGGAGATGTGGGACCCTGCAGCCATGGGGGTGGGGGGAGCTGGGTACCCCTGCTCTCACAGCCATCCCTGCAGGGATGTCCCCTTGGGGCCTCTGACCAACCCTTGGAGCAACCAGCAGAGCCAGAAGGTGCTTTATTTACTGTAGCACTGTGATAAGGAAACCTGGTTTCCTACTGCTGTGCTCCAAGGTTGATTTGGCACAGAAGAAACTCCAAAGTTTTCATTGATGTTTTTCCAAGAGTGAGACTGCAGGTCCAACATCTCCTCCCACTCCTGTGGGAGTGCTGGTGAGGATTAACAGGGTGAAACTGGGCACTGGGTTCAAAAGTGCTGGGGATGTGAATGCCTGGGAAATTAATCACGTCATTTTTTCCTTCGGGGACAAAAAGCTTAAAAGGATCAATCCCCTTCTTCAAGAACAGATAGGATTTGTCTTGTGCTTCCTGCTTCACTCAACACCTCCCTGCTCCTCGCAGCCCTGTCCTTGGGTGAGGCCTTGGGCCAGAATGCACCTGGGAACTTATCCAAGTCCAAAAATTGTCTGTGTATCCTGCACAGAAGGGGTCCAGAGATCTCATGAGGCAGATCTTCATTCTAAAAGCACTTCGGGGTCTCCCAGCCCTCTGGTGCCTGCCAGTTCCTGCCAGACCCCAGAGGAAAAGGGGACAGTGGCTGAGCCAGGGCACTGCAGCCCTCTGTGGCCTGGGGAGGGCTGCTGTGGGTCCATGGACACCAGGGCTGCCAGGAAAGCACCTGCACCTATGAAAGGGGGGCTCAGGACCTTCCATGTGGCCCCAGGGTGGGGAGCACCTGCGGAGTAGCAGCAGCTCCTGGAGGGGGAAGGAATGCTCAAGGGGAGCAGCAGGTCCTTGGGAGGGGGGCTGGAATGGGCTGGCAGCACTTCCCCTGAATGGGAGATTCGGGAAAGGTCAGCAGCTTCCCTAACCCTAACCCTAGGGAGCCGGGGAAGGCCCAGATCCCAGTGGGGCAGATCCTTTAGGAGGCGGCAGACCCTGGATAGGGACAGCACATCCTCAGCACAGCGACATCCCCGGGGCTGATCTCCCTGACGGCGGCGCATGCCAGGGACAGGGACCAGACGGGAGCAGATCCCATTGGGGGTGAAACCCTTTCCAGGGCGGCGGGTCCCGGTGCCGGGTGGACGCTGTGGGTCGGTGCCCCGAGGACCCAATCCCAGCCCCGGCGGGGAGCGGAGCCCCGCGGGGAGGCGGAGCGGGCGGGCGGGGCGCGGCTGCCGCCCGCCCCCGCCGGGGCTGGGAGCGGGGCCGGGGCCGCTCGGGGCGTTCAGGGATGGATGCAGCGCCCGGGAGCGCCCCGTCGTCCTCCGCCGCGGCGCTGCGGCTGGCGCTGTCGGCTCCGGGGCTGCCCGAGGGTCCCCTGGGCTGCCCCATCTGCCTGGACGTGCTGCGGGACCCGGTGACGGTGCCGTGCGGGCACAACTTCTGCCAGGGCTGCTTGCAGGCGCTCCGCCAGCAGCCAGGCCCCCCCGACGGCGGCGGGGCGGGCGGGGCCGCCCGCTGCCCGCTGTGCCAGGAGCCCGTCCCCGCGGCCCTGCGCCTCTGCAAGAACCGCGCCCTGTGCGAGCTCCTGCCGCTGCTGGCCGCCGCCGCCGGCGCCTCGTCCCCGCCGCCCTCGACGTCCCCGATGGCGCCGGGAGCCGAGGAGGAGGACGCGGCGGGGGAGGAAGGAGCGGCGGTGCTGTGCGACGTGTGCCCGCCCGGGTCCCGCGCGGCGGCCGAGCGGTCGTGCCTGGTGTGCCTGGCGTCCTTCTGCGGGCCGCACCTGGAGCCGCACCGGCGGGCCCCGGCCTTCCGAGCGCACCGGCTGGTGGCCCCGCTGCGCCGGCTGGAGGAGGGGCTGTGCCCCCGCCACCTGCAGCCCCTCGACGGCTTCTGCCGCGCCGAGCAGAGCTGCGTGTGCGCCCGCTGCCGCGCCCACGAGCACCGCGGCCACGACGTGGTGCCCCTGGAGCAGGAGCGGGAGCACAAGCAGGTGCGTGGGGCGGGGGGGGACGCGGGGGTCCCCACGGGGGTGGCACCCTGGGGTGGGGGTGTCGCGGGTGCGCGGCATCCCTCGGAGGGGCTCACGGGGATTGCAGTGCCCAGGAGGGGTGTGTGCAGGTGCAGCACTGCTGGGATGCCATGCAGGGGCGTGCTGTGCTCCCACCCCTCGGGGGATCCCAGCCCAGCATACGGACAGGATGCTGCGCCATCGGGGAACCCCTGGGACTGGGACAGGATTGGGACAGAATCGGGGCAGAGCCGTGCCGGGCATCCCGTGGGGAGTCCGGACTCGCGGTCCCGTGGGTGTAGGGCTGGGCGAGGCTGCCTGGGACACCCCTCAGTGCCACCCCCGCGCTCCCGGGGCACCCGCCCTGCCCGTCCCGTTCCCACAGCTCCGTCGGGGCGGTTTTCGCCCGCGCTGGCAGCCGGCCCGGCTCCCGCTCCCCCAGCCTTTTGTATCCTGCCGTTTGGCGGCGGGGGTTTTTCCATCACTCCCGTTCCCAGATGTGGCTGAGTCACCTCCTAAACTCACACCCACGAGCCTTCCCAGGAGCCGGGGCTCCAGTCCCGACGTGGTGCTGCCTTCCTGGGCACTGCAGCCTCTGGAAGTGTGGGGCTCATGGTGTGGTGGCATCTCCCATGGCCATGAGGCATTTGGAGACCTTGGGAGAGTTTTCCAAGGAGGAGCCCAGCCCCAATCAGCACCCCAAGCCAGCTGCCCCTCCTGATGGGCTGCTAGGCTTGCGGGAAAACCCTTTTATCGGCATTATTAGTCATGAGGCACCTTAAAATAGAAAGTGTGTGTAATCCCAGCCCTGAGGAGCTGTCAGACCTCGGCGGGCGCTGCTCAATGTCGCCTGCAGAACCTCTGTGCCTGCCCTCCGCCCTCGCGCTGCGGGCTGGGGGGGATGCACGGGGAAAGCACCTGCAGCTGCTCCCCGGGAGCCAGCACTGCCCTGCCAGGGGCTGAGCATCAGCAGGGGGCTGTCTGGCTGTCCCCTGGCTCCCCCGGGACCCGTGCTCGTGATGGGCAATGGCTGAGCCAACAATAGCGTCTCAGGAAGCGCCGTGCTCGGAAGGTGCTTCCTCTGCAGCCCGTGCTCCAGAGCTGCAGCTTTGCTCCCAAACAGAAACCTCCAGGGGACTCTGTGCTGAGTTTCTCAGTGCTCCAGGCCTGCCTTTCAGCTTCTGCACCAAACCCAGGTGGATTTTTCCCAGCCCTGGGTACTCGCTAAGAGCACTCTTAGCTTCAGTCATTGCCTGATGGGTTTGCTTTCAGATTCCTGTTTTGTTTGGTTTCCGCTGGGACCAGGGTGGGGAACGTGGAGCTGTACATGACCCTTTCGTTTTCCAGCTGAGAGAGAAGGGTTGTTTGCAGGTTGGATGTTGCAGGGAAGGAAAACAGGAAAACAACTCATGGTTCCCCTTGCATCCTTCACGCCAAGCCTGGTAGCAAGGTCATGGTCAGAGAGCGTCTGTGGATCGAGCTTGGGGAGAGGCTGAATGCCCTGTGCCTCCCACTGGGACTGGGGGTGAAGCTCAGTGTTTGTCCTTCATGTCTGCAGGCCCAGCAAGCCAAATTCCTCAGCGATGTGGAGAATGAGCTGGAGGAGCTGGCAGTCACCATCACCCAGGCCAAGAAGATGGTGGAGCTCATTAAGGTGACTCTGCAGTGCTCTGTTGGTGCAGCTCTGCTGGGCTGGGGGTGGAGGGGAAGGGGCTGTGAGATTTTGGGGTGCATGGGCTGTAAAGATGATGCTCACAGGAACAGATGATGATCCTGGCAGAGACCCCTGAGGATTCTTTCTCCTCATCCCTGCTAACACTCATGGCATCTCTGGTTGCTTTAATTTTTAACATGGAAGAAGGAACAGGGCAAGGGCCATGCCAGGGCATCCTCTGGCTCTTGCACCTTCTCTCCCCAGGCTCTTGGGGGGGTTGTCTCCTTTGGCCCTTGTGCAAACACGTTCTTGGGTGAAGGGGGTGATCAGGGGGATTCCTCAGAGCTGAGAACTGGGTGCTGGGCAGGGCACAGGCGAGGCCCTCCTGCACCCTCACCTGTGGGACCTGGCCCCTCTCTCCCCGCACTCAGGGTGCTGCCACAAAGGAGAGGGAGAGGGTGGAGAAGCTCTTTGCAGAGGCCTCTGAGGTGCTGGCAGCCTTCCAGAAGGAGGTGACGGGATTCATCGAGGACGGGGAGCGCTCCATGCTGGCCGAGGCCGAGGCCGATCTGCGCTGGAAGGAGCAGAGACGAGCCAAGCTGGCACAGTGCAAGCAGAGCCTGGAGAGCGTGCCCAGCACCGACACCATCTACTTCCTCCAGGTGGGATGGGGCAAGAAGGAGCTGACAGGGTTGTGTTTTGGGCTTTTGGCTCATTTCCCGTGGAGCTGGGGGCCAGGAACCCTGGGATGTGCAGGATGCTGAGTCTCACTCTTGCTGGCACTGTCCTCTCCCCTCCCTTCTCCCAGGGGGACCAGACAGCCAAGGTTTTCCCCTCCATCACCACCACCTCTGTCCTGTCCATGACTCAGGACAGGCTGATGTGCTGCTGTGTGGAGGAGAGCAAGAGTTTGGGGTGCCCCACTGCCTCCTCCAGCATCCTCCCCCCTCCCTGACAGCCCAGCAGGAGGAGACATTTTAGGGAGGAGATGCTGCTCCGTGCGAGGAGGGTATGGTTTGAGTCCTGGTTTGAAAGGGAGTGAAGAGAAGGTGCCAGGAACACGTGGCTGGGAAAGAGCTCTCCTCCCTTATGCTGTCCTTGGGCCAAGTCCTGAGAGCTGCCAGATCCCAAATCCTCCAGGGCCGGGTGGGGTCCTGGAACAAGAGACAACTTTGGCTTGTTTGAAACCTCCTGAAACTCCATCTTTTTTGGCTCAGGAATTTCAGGCCTTGAAAGCAGCCATGGAAGAAAAGCTCTCTCCACCTTTGAGCTTCCAGAAGGAGCTGAACTTCACCAAGTGCACCCAGGCTGTGAGTGCCATGAAGGATGTGCTGTCCACTGCCTGCAAAAACCAGTGGAACCACTTGCAGGGGAAAGGAATTGATGGATTGAATTGCCAGGAGATGGAGGAAGGTTTGTGTTCACCCAGCCCCTGTCCCTTTCCCCCTTCCCTGCGTGGGTGGGAGGTGGCTGCGTGGCTGCATGGCCCCTCTGAGTGCTGGCCCCTGTCCTTCCAGCCCTGGCAGCTGCTCAGCACGGGTTCCCTGCACGTTGCACAATCCCTGTCTGGGCTTACGCCTCTTTGAGGTTTTGTGATTTTTTCCACGGAGACTGGAGAGGCAACAAACAGCCTGGGAGTTAGGCAGGGCCCTGTGGGAGGGGGCAAGTGGCCAAAGTGGCCTCCTGTGAAAGGGGACTCTTCTTCCCAGGACAGACAATCCTCCTCACGGGGCAGACTGTGGGCTCCCGAACATGCCAGGGTTAGAGAGCTGATGTGGCAGCTCTCTCCCATGCTGTCTCATTTAACCTCAGCTCTCTCCTTTCTCGTTTTCTGGGATGCCCATGGGAATTGCAGCCTGTTCCTTGCCCTGCTGCCCACCTCCCCGGGGTGACAAAAGTGACGTCTGTCCTTTCCTGTGTGGGAGGCACTGGGGATGTGCAGGGGGAGTGGGGATGCTGGCTGGGGCTGTGACAGCTCAGTGCCATCAGGGGCAGGGGACAATGCTCCAGTAGCCCCCTTGGTGGTGTTTGGTTCCTTCGCTGATGCAAACCCTTCTGTCCCTGTCTCTGCAGCGCTGGCTGAATCCCGATTTCCAGACAAGTCAAACAACCCTGCCTGCCTGGAGAACCGTGATTATTTCCTGAAATGTAAGTGGGGTGTTGGAACCCTGGATTCTGAGCGTTTTGGGCTTTCTGTGCTGAAAGGCACAGACCCTCAAAAGAACTCTACATTTAACCTGAGGCTGTGGAGAAAGGCTTCCAAAATTAAATAGTAGAGCTAGGATTGTGGGTGTGTGATTTGAATAGAAGTGTGTAACATCACGTAGTAGAAAACTTAGAGTTTAAGGCTTTAGAGTATAGTAATATATATAAAGCTAAGATGGAGGCTTTAAGGCAGTGACTAGTCCTTCTTCTTCACCTTCTCCTCCATGGGTTTAGGTGGTATTTTATTTATTTTGGTGGGGGATTCTGCTTTGGGTTGTTGCTAAGGCCCATCTTCCCTTTCCTCTCCCTTCCCGCCTGCCCGGCGCTGATCCAGCGGCTGCGGGAGCGCTGCCACCAGCAGAGGAAATTCTGCTTGGCTAACAGGGAGGCCTCCTGGCTTTCCTGACAGCAGTCAGAGCCTGCTTAGGTGATGGATTTTTTCCCTTCCCTGTGGTTCTGCTGGCCCAGCTGCCCCAGGGGCGCTGCAGGCGTCCTGTGTAATTCCTGCTGCTTTCCAGCCCTTGGCAAACTGGATCCTGTTTAAATTAGACCAGAGTTGGTGTGTTGTGTTTGTCTGCCTTGTTTGCTGCAGGACTCTGGGCTGGTGAGGGTTGTCTGCAGCAGCAGAATGACAGGGATCATGCAGTGGTGGAGCAGAGTGGGGCAGGAGTGGCTGAGGCTGGAGGGTGCAGGGCTGGGCTGGAGCTCCCACACCCTACCTGTGTGTCCCCAGCCTTACAGGGGATATGGGGTCACCTGCTGACGTGTCCTTAGGGGACAAGTTCTGCCTCAGTGGCACAGAGCAGCAAAATCTGGCCTCTAGGAGGGTGTGCTCTTCTGCTGTCAGACTGGGACATTCCATGGTCCACACTGCCATTCAGCTGATAGTGATCCATGCCCAGGGTTGTTCCCTGGAAGAGCTTCCTTGGGCATCCCCTCTGTTTGGGATCCATCAGTGGCTCTACGTGGCCCATGGCTGCACTTGCTGGGGGCTGCCTGTTTGCAGCTGTGGCATACCTGGCTGTTCTCTCTCTTGGGGTCTCAACTGCATTTATGTGTGATTACCTGAAATATGCTTTTATGTGAGGTTTCCTTATCACCAGTCTTCAGGTGGATTCTCCAAAGTCTGGTATCACGGTTGAGCTCCTCAAGCAGCCCCTCTGCCCAGTAACCTGTATTCATCCTGCTTATGGGAGTAACCTGTATTCATCCTGCTTATGGGAGTATCAGCTCTTTCAGCCTTTCATCCTCATTGACTGAAATTTGCCGTGGGACTTAAAAGCAAGGGGACAGAGTGATGGGAAGGGTCAGAAAGGATCATGCTCATCATCAAAGGCTGGGGCAGGGAGGATTTCCTTGCACTTCCCTCCACTTCCCTTGCTCATTTCTCCCTCTTGCCCCTCACAGTTGCCTTCATCATCGACCTGGACAGTGACACAGCCGACAAGTTCATCCAGCTGTTTGGCACCAAGGGGGCCAAGCGGGTGCTGTGCCCCATCCCCTACCCGGAGAGCCCCACGCGCTTCATCAACTGCGAGCAGGTGCTGGGTTTGAACCTCATGAACAGGGGCAACTACTACTGGGAGGTGGAGCTGATCGACGGCTGGGTGAGCATCGGGGTCATCGCCGAGGACTTCGACCCGCGGGAGGCCTACAACCACGGCCGCCTGGGCAGGAACGACAGGTCCTGCTGCCTGCAGTGGAACGGCCAGAACTACGTGGCCTGGTTTGGTGGCTTCGAGTGCCCCATCCAGCAGCCCTTCTTCCACACCATCGGCGTCTTCCTGGAGTATTCGGAGAAGGCTTTGACCTTCTACGGGGTCAAGGACTCCAAAATGACCTGCCTGCAGCAGCTCAAGGTCTCCCCTTCTGCCAAGGGGAAGCTCGACCCGTTCCAGAACAAGATCAACCGCCAGTTTGCCTCTCTTTTCTCGTGCAAGCTGAAGCCAGCCTTCTTCCTGGAGAGCGTGGATGCCCACCTGCAGATCGGGCCGCTGAAGAAGGACTGCGTGTCCGTGCTGAAGCGCCGGTGACTGCCCGGGCAGAGGGGCATGACAGACCCTCAGAAGGCTCTCCTGCCACCTCTCCTTGGTAGCCCTGTGTGTGTCTGTGGCAGCCCTCCCTCCTCTCTGCACTGCTGGGGACCCAGGGATGGATGAGGCTGGGTCTGAGTGCCAGCTCTGCTGCTGGGTGAGCTCGGGCCAGTCCCTGTGCTGCTCCCTGCCCCTCAGCTTCCCTTTCTGGACATCAGGGACTGCCACAGCCTTTCTTGGTAAAGCGTGCTGCTCAGAAGTGCCACATGGATTTGGAGCTGTGCCTTGGCCACCTGCCCAGTCCCTCTGCTTCACCTCTGCTCACTCTGCCCCGGCGACTTGTGCCGATGCTTTGTGCCTTATCTCAGGCTCTGTTCCTGAAGCTTTTTTAAGTTGACACCTTCTGCATGCTCCTCACAAAGTGCCTTTGATGGAGCAAGCCCTGTGTGGACAGGTGAGCCCCCAAGGCAGGCGTGGTCACTTCCCATCCCCTCTGTGCCCTGGCATGGATGAGGTGGTGCCCCAGGGAGAGGGATGTGGAGGAGCCTGGCTGGCTGCTGGGGTGATGCTGGAGTGATGCAGCCCCTCTCCTTGCCCACCCATTAGGGCTGCAATGTGAAAAAAGGATCTCTGCCCAGCTGGGAAAGGGAGAAACCTCCTGCTGAGAAGCAGCACAACTGTTCCCAGCTGGAGATGGGGAAGGGAGCAGCACAAGCCAAGTTTTGAGGATGTGCTTTAAGTAAACACATTCTTTGGTAACTCCTAGCAAAGCTTTGCAGCCAAATTTCCCCCCATATTTTTGATGGCACTGTTGTTGTGTGGGGTTTTAGTACTGTTAAATGACCAACACTTCAAGAACCCTGGGCAAGAACCCTGAACCCTCTTCAAGAACTTGAGCTGAAAATCTGCCCCTTAGCTTAGGGATTTTTAAGTGACAGAGGTGCTGTGAATATGTCCCAGAGATAAATGGTCTGGTTTAGTGTTCTAGGACAGCTGTGCCTCCATAAAGGTGCAGCATCAGTCAGCTACTAAATGACCCTGTAGACTCTGGGAATAAGTAACAATTAACAAAAACTACCCTCAAGCGAGGGGGAACACTGTTCCCTTCAGGAAAGGTGGAAACTCGAGGCTGAGAGACAAAACTGCCAGTTCACATGTCCCGAGGGAGCTTTTTCAGAAGGAAAACAGAGAAATGCTGCCTGTGAGAGCAGCACAGAGCAGCCCCTGTCTCAGCACAGCCTGCCTTTCCACAAGTTTATTTTTTTGGGGGTTATTTTGCTACCTACCTCCCAAAGCCTGCTTTACAGAACCATGGTGCTGGGTAATGTACACCTGGAGAGAAAATACAGAGGGTCAGGTTCTTCACTGGCATGAGTGAGTCAGGGATGATGCAACAACCAGCAGGAATAATAAACAGCCCATTCAGCTAAATAGATGAAATATACATATATTTTCCCCAAAGGATAAGCTGGAAATCATACTGCTATATTCAAGTGGAGCCAAGGGAAAAATGTGAATAAAAGGCAGGCACAAAGCTGGCAGGTTTGAAGTTAAAGCCACGTTTACACGCTGAGGCTCAAAGAGCTCCTTTACTGTGACTCCTTTGGCAGCACTGCCAGTTTCTGGTGGTGCAGAAAGAGCTGCCAGTGCCCTGAAAATTGGGATATTTTAGTGGATCAAGGGTCTGAATGCAGCCACCCCTTCCCTGGGGCAAGGCTGGTGAGTCAGTTTGGGAAGGGGCTTGCTGGGATCTGTCTGCAAATTCCTCCTCCTCCTCCCCTGCATGAGGTTTCTCCTAAACTGCTGCAAGCAGTGGGAAAAGGAACAGTAGGGCTTCCAGAATGAAATCTTCAGCTGAAATCTTGGCCTTTCCTGGCTGCTGGGAAAGCTGCCCAGACTTCTGTCCGGATGGGAATTCATTCCCTGCGTCCTGAGCTCCAAACCCTCTTTGTTTGGCTGGCGCCTGCGGAGCCCAGCCCTTGCACGAGATGTCAGCGGTGACACAGAGCAGGTACAGGGGCAGAACGTGGTGTCAGGAGCTCCTGGAGGAATGGGAGAGGCAGAGCTGTGCCACAGCACGGTCACACCCCGGCAGGACAGGGCAGGGAAGGAGCCTCCATCTCTGCAGGAAGAGATCTCCCACGTGGGCCCACGTCTGCGCCCTAAATCTCATTTATCCAGGCTGAACTCCCACAGTTTGCAGCCAGGAGTATTGCCAGAGTAAACACAGCAGATCTGGGGCTTTGCCCTGCTTGGTTTCGCTGTAGGTGGATTGATTGCTCCGAGGGGAAACCCACGCTGGAGCCACTCATCCCACCCTTCTCCACTTCCCCAACGCACAGACAAAACCCCTGACCTCCTTCAGGGCTCGGGGGGCTCAGAGGGATCCTCTCTTCCCATCCTGCCACCACGTGGGAGCAGCTCAGGAGGCCCCTGGGCTGTCTGGCCATGGTGTGGGCTTGTGCTGCAGCTTTGTTGGGATTCATGGATGCAGCTCCACGGAGCTCCTGTGCATGTGCCACAGCTGGGAAGTGCTGCCCAAGCCTCTCCTTCCTGCTGCTTGCTTTCATCCTGGTGGGAGTGCTAAAACCCCTCCTGCTTTAGGATGGTTTAAGATAGGAGCAATCCCCTCAGGAGCTGGGTCAGAGTTTGCCCTGTGCTGCCAGGAGTTTGTAAACTGGAACAACCAGGGAGTGTGCACTGTGCCAGCTCTGGATCCCTGATTTTGCTGTAAACAAAGGGTTAAAAGCAAGGTGAGATGGGCTGAGATGGGTTGATGGCAATTTAAGCAGCCTTTCCTTGTTCCCTTGGGTTATTTCTGCTGTCACAGAGTGTTCCTCTTTTTAATTAGGATTTTTTAAATACAGTAACTGTAGGGTGTTTTACAGTGTGTGAAAAAACTGTAACAGAATAATGTAATGGTGTTAGAGACTATGATTTGAACATTAAATATGATACAGTCATTGCCCTGGGTTGTCTTTCCTTTAAATACCAAACCATTTGACTTGTCCCATTATCTCGTGTTTACTTTTCTGTCTCCTGCACATCTGGCATGAAATAAGACAGATTTTATTTTCCCAGTGTGTCCAAGGGAATTCTGCCACATACACTTTCTTATTGCAAAAGGAGTGGAAGAACCTTAAAATCCAATAATAATTGTCAGCCCTGGGCAATTCAAAACAATGAATTGTCTCAGTTCTCTCTGCTATGTCTGTCCTCATGCTACAAATAAAAAAGATTATCAGATTAGCTATTTTTTCCTTAGTGTTTTTAAGTTTTAGAGTATAACTTTGCAAGGTTTTCTGTGTGGTGAGGAGGTCTAGAGCTTCACACGCACACTGGCAATTACAGCAGCATCTTTTTTAAGTGAAGGGTGCTTTTCTTCATCCCAAATGTCAGTTGGAGTTAGGATAAAAATGTTATTTGGTGAGTCTTAGTTCATGTGAGGTGCCAATGCCAATGCCAATCTGGGCATTTCAGTGGAAGCCGAGTGGGTTCTGCTCCTGACTTTAATAGGAGAAGAATCAGAACTGTTTGTTATGGCTGTTTCTTAAAAGGGAAACTTACTGCTTATTGAAAAAGCGGATATGAAAAGCACAAACTTGTTCTTTTCCTGCCAAGAAACCATACAGATTATGTCACTGCATTTATTTAAATCTGGTTTCCATTATGTCTTTTTTCTGCTTTTCCCCCCCCACCTGCGTCTGGTTCTCAGACAGGACTGGGCTGCAAAAGCAGGGAATAGCTCAGATCCATTTAAAAATATGTAATAGAGGGTGATACATGCTCTTTTTTGTATATTATTAATATACAGCTGTCAGTTATTGATCTGAGGGAGCCCTTCAAGCAGTTTTGCAGGGTTCCTATTTTTAATGAAGACACCACAACAGTTATGCATTATTTTTTTTATGAAATAATGAAGTTATCATTAATTTTTTTAATTCCTCCTACTTGCACACCTGGAGGTGAGAATTCAGACCCTTCCTGCAGATCTGCAGATGCCACAGCTCTTTTCTTGCTCCCAGATTCCTGACAGACAGACACACAAACACTGTCCTGGCTTGTTTACGGGGAAACCAGTTCTAGTTTAACACACTTCAATATAAACGGGTAATTTTTTGGATGTGCTGGATTCCACCACTGAAAGCAGCCAATAACAGGATCAAAAATCTGTTTGCAAGTGTGTGAAATGCACCTCAAGTGGGAATTTAAAAAACCGTGGGAAATGAAGCATCTTCGTCGTTTAAGGGGCTAAACCTCAATTCATGTGCAGAACCGCCAGATACCCGGGATTATTTTTATTTTACTCCACCAAACAGCACAATTACAGAGAGACAGGGTGCCCGGCCCTGAGGCGGGGAAGGGGGAATCATGGCGGCCGGCATACAACTCCCAGCATGCACTGCGTGTCCGACGCGGAGAGTGTTAATACCGTACATGTAGGGACTACAGCTCCCGGAATGCTCCGCGCGGGGAAACGGCGCAGCGGTAAGGTGTTTTGAGGTGGACTACAGCTCCCAGCATGCACCGCAGGGAGGATTAGAAGTGACCCGATTAATTTATGGCGATGACTACAACTCCCAGCATGCCACTCGGTCCCATTGACGGCGCTCCATTTTCCCGCGCAGGCGCAGCGCGGGCCCGGTGCTGTGAGGAGGCGGAGGAGGCGGCGATGGCGCTCAACAAGAACCACTCGGAGGGCGGCGGCGTCATCGTTAACAACAGCGAGAAGTGAGGTGCTATCCCCTTCTCCCCTCCTCCGGCCTCGGGAGCCGGGGGATAGCGGCGAGCTGCCTTCCCCCCCCCGTCCCCCTGCTGCCTTTCCCCTCAGGGGGAGCGGCCGTGTGGGTCATGGCGGGGCGTGCTGAGGGGGCGAGGCGGGTAAAGGGCGTGCTGTAACCCTCTCGGTGCCGGCGTTGCTCGTCCTCCCCTCACCTCCCTGCGGCACAGGGGCTGTGTGTATCCTCCTGCCCCAGGGCCTGTCCAGGCGAGCTCTGCGGGGCTTCATCCGCGGGCCTTGCCCCTCTACCCCGCGTCCCTCAGCCTGCTGCTGGCTCTCGCTGCTGTCCCATCCTCACCCCAGCCCTGGGGAAGGGCTGGCGGAGCTCAGCTCCCGCCCAGGTGATGTGGCAGGACCCCGGCCTCTCCCCGGGGAGGCTGCACTGCATGGCGCTCAGCCCGCTGCGCTTTGCCGGCTCTTTCCCAGCTCCCCTTCTGCGTGCGCGGGAGGCAGCGGCAGCCTTGGGGAAGGTGCTGGGGTATAACCATGGAAACGGCGAGGCTGCACAGAGCCGCCTGTGTCTGCCTGGCAGAGGGCTGTCCGTGCCCGTGCTCCTGACGTGGCAGTCATCCGCTCCGGGGACAAAGGAGAGCTTCATCCCCCAGCGCTCCTTTCCACCGGCCGCTTAAACACTGCTGCAGCAATTCTGTGCCTGGCTTCCGCTTGGGATGTGGCTTTTCTTAGAAGGCTTTAGTAGGATCAAACCGAGCACTTAAATCGGCGTTCCCTGAAGGAATGGGAGTTGAAGGTGCTGCTGTTCCCAGCTGCCAGCCTGCCTGTCCCTGGGCTGATCCAGCTGGAATGCTGCAGCCTGGAGGGGGCTGCTCCCACTGCCCTCCCCGAGCTGCTCCTGGAGGTGTTTAGTGGCAAATGACTGAGGATGGAAACACGTCAGCTGCCAAAGATAGAGGTGCTGGAGATTTCTGCAGCTTTAGGGATTAGAGTCCCTGATGTGGGTGCTGTAATGCCAGTACAACTTGCCTGCTGTGCCCAAAGGTTTTAATCAGGCCAGTTTGCCATTGGGAGTTAAGGAATCAGTGCAGGCAAGGCGAGTTAATGAAATCTTGTGGCAAGGAAGGGGAGTTCCTGTGGATCACATTTTTGTATCAGAGGTGCCTGAGCTGTGGTGAGCCCTTCCACAGCCGTGTTGCATAAGCCAGCCTGAGCAGCTCCTTCTCCTCTGTCCTGTCACTTGTGGACAGCTGGGTTAGGGAGCTGATCCAGCAGAAATGCAAAACAATTTAAAACGAAAACAAAAAAAAAAGGTCTTGAGATTCGGTCTTGAGATTTTGACCAGGTTTGCTGCCTGGTTGTGCAGACAGCAGCTGTGTCAGCACTCTGGGAAGGGAACCAGCAGCCAGTGCTACTTCAGTTGCTGCTGCCAACATGAAAAACAACAAAAAGAGGCAAACCAGATCTGATTCTGTCTGCATCTCCATCAGTGCTGAGGTTACAGGTGGCTTTGGCAGGTCAGTAAAGTTCTGTGCATGCTGCATTTCTGCCCTGAGCTGTAACTGCTGTCCCCTGTGTCACTGTTGGCAGTGTTTTGATGACCTATGACCATGTGGAAATCACCTTCAGTGATCTGGAGCCGATGCCAGAGGCCTTCAAGGGCACCAAGAAAGGGAGTGTGTTCCTGACTCCCTACAGGGTGAGTGGTGGAAGGCTTTGTCTTGTCTAAGGAGAAAACAGCCCTGGAGCCTGTATTGAAATGTCCTCAGTGGATGAAAGTCAGGATAATCTACTCCTGCCTGAAGTGTGGCTCATCCTCCCTTTGGGAGGCATTGTGAATTCATGGCATATCCCATCTATTTGTCAACAGATAATAAATCTGATTAGTTCTTGTACAGGCAGCTGTTTAGTCCATCAGGCATCTTCAGACTGGAAATTAGCAGTGGTCTGGAAATGCTGAATGCAACAGCACAGCTACTAAATCACAGAGTGTGGAGCAGCAGCTTCTCTGGAAGCTGGGAGGAGCATTATCTGAGCAAGGGGCTTCTGGAAGGCTTTAGGACCTTGAGGATTTGGTTTAGCCCTGTGGCTGTTGTGTGTAGCTTTTGCTTTGTGGAACTGGTGATGTGGGAGGGAGTTTCACAGAGAAATCTGTTCATACAATAAATCAGGGCTGTGTTTCCTGTTTGTTTTGACTGGCTCTTGTAATGTTCTTTTCTTGCAGGTTATCTTTGTGTCAAAGGGGAAGGATGCTATGCAGTCATTTGTGATGCCCTTTTATTTGCTGAAGGATTGTGAGATTAAGCAGCCAGTGTTTGGAGCAAATTACATCAAGGGCACAGTGAAAGCAGAGGCAGGAGGTAGGTATCACATAGTGATGCTCTGTGTCTCAGTTCAGCTGCTCACTTCACAGCAAAATCCTGGCTGACCAAACCTTGGCACTGTCCAGGTGGGTTTTCACACTCCTGTGAAAATGTTTTTCTTTCATTGGCAGCTAAAAACATTCCCCTTACCAGCTCCCTGTTCAGCTACAATGAGATGTGCTCTGCAACCCTTCTCATTCCTGCCCTCTGCAAAATATAAAGTTCAATCAAACAAGTGATCTCAGCAAATAAACATCAGAGTGGAGTCAGCAAGAATGAAGATGTCATTTTGCTTTGGTCACTTGGGATCACCTATCCCAGCTGCATCCAGGTTCTCCTGTGCCAAAAACTCCGATCCTTTCTGGCTCTGTTGGGGTTCAGGTGCACAGCACTTTCTCCATTGTGTTTCTTGTGCAGTTCAAGGACAGCTGTGGTATTGCTGTAGTGCATCCTGGCAGTGAAAATGGCACTTAGAAGGGAATGGATTGTCTTGAAATCAGGGAATTTAAGGAGCTGTTTCACATTAAACTCAAATAAAAGGCTGTGGCAGACATTTTAAAAATCATTTTGGTTTTGACTGTTTTTGGTTTTTTTGCCAAAGGCACAGAGTTCAGCAAACTTTCATCCTCAGCTTGATTCAGTTTTGCAGTTGTGGCACAGAAATCACAGCACAGGGTGGAAGAGCCTTCAGCTGGAGTTCTGAAATCAGCATTGCAGCTTCTGCATGGGAGCTGAGTGGGACCATCCAGCATGAGAGGGAGCCTGAGCATTAATGACAAACTAAACTGTGTGAAAGGCAAAAGGCTTTAGCTGAATCTTTGTTAATTTTCCCCAGAGGCCATCTCTTTTAATGATGATGTTGTCTTAACAGC